CCATAATTTTATGGATGTGATTCTTGTTTTTCTTCAAATTGGCAAGCATGTGAAAAAACTTAGTATTTCTATCACCTTCCATAACAAATTTGGCATTAGACTTTTGTTTCCAAAAAGTTTCTTCCTGGAGTTGCAGAAGGAAGAGATTATTCTTAGCATTATTAAGGCTGTATAAATTATCAGAATTCGAATAATTCAAATAGACATTATCAAGATCCGAAACTTTCAACTCAGCTTCCTTAATATTGGAAAAAATATTTTTAAAAATGTTTTTGTTCCACCATCTCAACACTTGTTTAAGTCTACAAAGTTTAGACCAAAGTCTCAGCATGCCATTAATGTTATTGTCAGGGAAGACAGGAGCAGTCCAGTTCATAGTAATAACATTCTTAAAGTCACTATGGAGCATCCACATATTCTGAAATCTAAAAGTATTAGAAATAGTGTTATTAAACTTACTGATTCTCAATAGAATAGGGGAGTGATCAGAGAGGGTTCTGCTAAGATGTTCAACATTAGTCATAGAAAACTCAACAATCCATTCATTGTTAAAAAGACACCTATCAAGTCTTTGCCACAGGTTAAATCTATTCCAAGTGAAAGGGCTACCAAAAAAGCCAATATCAGTTAAATTGTAATTATTAATCGTAGTATTAAAATACTCCATTGCATTAATGTTAGGAGGATTTCCACCCACTCTTTCAGAAAAATTAGAAATGATATTAAAGTCACCTCCAACACTCCAGAGGCCATTAATGTGAGATGCAAAATTACATAACTTATCACAAAGATTTTTGCGGTTAGTCCTAGTACAAGAAGCATAAACAAAAGAGGTATAACAAGATATATTATGAAGACTAATAGAGCAATGCACAACTTGAGGAAAATCATGAATGACGTTTAAAGAAATAGAATTCTGCCACAAAATCCAGATCTTATTAGAGCTATTAGTATAGAAATTTGGAAACCCAAGATATTTAGCAGTCAAATCAATTTTTTCCTTAGCAATAAGGGGCTCAATAAGAACAAGTAAGTAAACATTATGAACTCTACAAAGATTTTTGACTCTAATCTTAGAGTCATTACCTCCAATACCTCGAACGTTCCAAATAAGAACTTCAATCATTGTAGTCTTTTGAAGAAGCTTGAGCTCGGGTGGATCTAGGATTGGAAAAAGAAACATTTTTGGGTTGTTTACCTTTCTTCCTGTTAACGATCTTAAAATCATCCTCTTTAGCAAATTTAGTAGAAACAGTTTCATGGAAGTTCTTACTATGATCATTGTTATTAGCTTGGGGACAAAATTCACCTTCTTCACATTCTTCAAGAATATCCCTGGTATCAACAACATGAGACTTATCCTTAACTCTTATTTCCTTGGAGTTAGATACCACACAATGTTCAATCTCAACATCATGTTCCTTCTCCTTGAACATAGATTCAATGGAAACAAATAGAGCAGGATCTTCCTCGGATACATTACAAACTTCATTAACAACAGTATTGTTTTTCTTAGCATCTAACAGAAGATTACTATTTTCTTGACAATCATCAACTAGAATAATATCATTTTCAGCCAAACCATCAACAGATTTTTGCATACTATCATCTAAGTTATGAGAAATAGGAAGCTGGTCCACATTGTTCCGTTGGTTCTCTCCAGTGACAGGGAGGTAAATCTGATTACCAGTGGATCCTTGCTTCTCATTTTTCATAACTTTAGAAATTTTAAGGTCGGGATGAAGTTTAAAACAGTCGGATTGAGCATGACCATGAATCTTACAGTGCGAACAAAACTCAGGAACTTTTTCGAAATCCACTTTTTGAAGATACCCAAAAGCTTTGGAACCGACCCAAATCTCTTTAGGATGATTTTTCAAAATGTCAACTTCTACAAGCACACGGGCTACTGAAGGTCTCGTACGAGAAGTAGTAGCCTGGTCGGTCTGTAGAGTTCGACCGAAGATCAAGCCCAACGCATGCAAAACTTTCGTATTAAAAAAATGGAGACGGAGGTTGGGAAATGAAATCCAGATCGTCACAATCGGAGACTCCTCCTTAATATCGAAAAAAGGAGTCCACTTCAAAACCCTCATTTGGCAGTTAAAGATAAAATACGATCGCCTAGCAAAAACCCGACTATAATCAAGATCATTTGAGAGTTGGATAGCAACATGCCTAGAATCAAGTAAACCAACCGAGTAAAAACCAGAGAGTTTCAATGATGAGAAAAACTGTCGAATAGCATCCAGGTTAGGACGACGCAAACCAAACTTACCAATAAGCATAAATTTATACGGGGAAGCTAACTTTAAAACCTCATCATCGGACAATAAAACCGCAGGAACTCCATTGAAAGTAGATTGAGTTAGAGAGGGAAGATCATCACCTGCATCCAGTTTATCGGAGAGTACCTCTGTCACGACCCGACCCGATCCGGGACGGATCCCGCTCGCACCGGGTCGCGACACGGAACGAACAGACTGACCAGGATCTGGTTATGGAATTTGGTTCGGAACTAAATCTTCCAAATAATTTACTCAAACAGACACACAGACACAGAGCTACTATGAATCATCAAACACAGCGGAACAAAACATCTATCTTTTTTTTTTTTCCTTAAAACAATCATCTACAAATACAGTACATGGCTTTTAGACAGAAATGAAAGACAGAATAGAAAAGCCATGACTGTACAAAAAAATCAAAAGGTACAAAACAATAC